CTCCCCAGCTTCCCCGGCCACTAAAGGGAAATGGTTGTGACCTGGGGTTGAGAATGTGACCTAGGGGAGGAGGGGATTGAGATCTGGAGTAGAGGATTGGGGTGCCAGATCTGGCAGGGGGTATGGGTACAGGAGGGGGGACAGAGGGTTGGGGAAGGGAGGAGCTGGGATGCCTGAGGCAGGCTCTGGCGAGGAGACTTACCAGCCAGCAGCCCAACCAGCCTGTGGAGATAAATGCTTTCACAGTTTAAAACGTTTCTCAGCCAGCCTGCTTGCACTACCCCTACGCAGGCTGTAGGACCATGTACTTGTGTAAATAACTGAGCTGGGAGTGGGGAGAGGGGGTGGGGTGCTTTATGTGCTTCCTGTTGTTCAAAGAGGCATCTCCCATTGGCCAGTTTCTGACCAGCAAACGGCCAGTGGGATTGTGCTGGTGGTGTGGGCAGCACCTGAAGCCTTCCCTCCGGGATCCGTCTTGAAAGAGAAACAGCCTGGCAGCCACTTTTGAGTAGCGTGTGGGTGGAACGAGGCAAGCAGGGAGCCTGCCTGCGGCTCCCTGCTGAGGCAGGGGGCTGGATCTGCTGCCTTGGTGGGCTGCATTTTGCCCAGGCCTGCTATAAACTGACCTAATTATTATGGGTACTTGAGTCACCAGGCTAGATACTTGGTGGCAGGGGGGAAGAAAGAAAAAGGTAAATATTTTTGGCCATAAGCCATTGTCACTTAATCTTCTTCATGATTCTTAGAGATCTTACTGATACAGGTATGTTATGGAGGAAGAGTAGCACCAAGTGACTCACTTCAAATTACAAACTTCAGGTGCAGCTGGAATAAATTTGGTAATTTGCATATAATCCATGTTAGGGATGTTAAATTTCATTTAACTCATTGACTAGTCGATGGATTTTCCATTGACTAGTCAATAAGCTGGCTTTTAATACATTTAAAAGTGCAAGTCTGGTCAGCTGATTCCCGGATTGTGCCGGTTCCCCCTTTTTCTCTCCCTCCCCCCCCCCCTTGCTGCCTCTGATAAGCTTTTGTTTATCGGATAGTTGATTAGTTGCTAACATTCCTAGTCCATGGTAGATGAATCTGTTGTAAATTTGGGAAGTCTGTGCAAAGAGGGGAGCTGCTATTGGAACATAAGCACAAAGTATTGAAGGTGATCAGGCTTTATTTATAAATATCTTTAAGTGCCCTTTGGGGACATTCATTTTAATACTCTAGCTAGCTACTTTTGTTTATCGGATAGTTGATTAGTTGCTAACATTCCTAGTCCATGGTAGATGAATCTGTTGTAAATTTGGGAAGTCTGTGCAAAGAGGGGAGCTGCTATTGGAACATAAGCACAAAGTATTGAAGGTGATCAGGCTTTATTTATAAATATCTTTAAGTGCCCTTTGGGGACATTCATTTTAATACTCTAGCTAGCTAGAGGAACAGTGTCCATAAGTGAGAGATTCTTGGATTCTGTTTTGCCAACATTTTTCCATGATAGCTTTGAGACTATTTTTGTAATTTGTGTAGTGAATATTGTATTCCTATTAGGGCTGTTAAAATGTGTTTAATTATGTAATTCTGTAACCACTGAAAATTTCAGCCATTCCATGTGGGAGGCTGGTACACGTGGGAAACTAAATATTTTAAACTGAGATTTTTCTCAGTACTCTGTTGAGGGAGGGACGAACGTTTTAATGATTATTTATTGTATTCATTTTTTTATAAAGACTGGTGAATCTGCAGAAGGCAGAAACTTGTTGGCTGCACAACAAAGTGACACTAGTTTAGAATATCGTGGACCTGGAATGCCAAATGGATCTGGAAGACCAAAAAGACGTAAAAGACGTGGCCGACCAAGGATGGCTGGAAGATCAGTGTGTTCGGGAAGACTTAGTAGACCTGTTCAGTCCCCTTCAATGTCTCTTAGTAACGTGTCAACAGAACACATCATATTTAGAAGGAAAACTAGACTAAAAGAGGTCTGGTTCCCTTCACTTATTTCATATGTACCTTTTTTCACCACCTACTGCCAAAATCTGATAAAATTCATCAAAAAGTAGTGAGCATGTTTGTGTAAATGAGGACGACGGGGGGTTATTTAAGTACCAAAGTTAAATATTAAATACATTAAGCAAAAGACATAAATCAAGTCATTGGTAAAAGATATAGGTTTTTAGAAAGTGTACCTGTGTATAATAGTTATTGGCCTCTTAGTAATTCAGGCCTACTCAACTTTGGAAGCCCTGGGGGCCACAATGATACTCGCAGTACATGCCAAGGGCTGCAACGTAAGTGTGGTTGCATAGACCTGCAAATATATATGCAAATAGCTTCTTTCTCACTGATGGGCATGAATACAAAGATTAAGGCAAGGCTATACAACACACAGGTCCCATTTAACTCAGTTCTGCTGATATTTATAAAATGCAGTATTTACTTGATTTCCACCCATATGGCCGCACTTTTAATGAGCAATGACAGTCCTGGAATTTATCTACTAAAAAGTATATCAAGAAAAGACCATTATATTGACTACTTTTTTGTTTTGGCTTTACAACAGTCCATGAATTTAACTACTAAAACACATATCAACCCAAACTGCACTTAAACCCAAACCGCACTGCATACTGCAAACAAATGGGCAGTGGGCCACACGCGGGCCACATTTTGAATAGCCCTGTAGTAAATGAATACAATCTTGACTCTGTTTGGGAGAAAAATTATTAGTAGTGCCACTGTGTGTGTCTATTATAATATACACTTTTTATATATTAAGAGTCCATCTTATTTTAAAAATGATTTTATTACAGTTCAAGTAATTGCCATGTTTTCTGAGCTTCCTGCATGTCACTGTGGATTGAGCTTTTGTGCTTAAGTCATTACGGTTTACTTTTTTTTTTCCCCATGAGTACACAGTTATTGAAACTGATCATTAACTGTTTGTGTTGAAAGACTGTATCATACCTTCATCTTAACTTTGCTCATCAAATCTCTAAATACAGATTTATTCTTAGAACCACTTAATTTTGTGATCTGGTAAAGGAAAGTGGATTAGTCCTTACCTTGTGCCATCTCTTTGATAGTGACTATTATGTCCTGTAATGGAGAACTGAGGTTGTGAACTGAGGAATGATTAGCATTAAGGATGTTAGATATCTGGTAATTGAATAGTTGTGTAACTGCATTAAAACTTTGCATTTATATGACTATTCGATAGCCCCTGGGGGTGGGGCCAGCAGCCAGTGCACTCCAGACCTACTCCCAGGGAGCCCCTGCCACCCCACGCTGCTGCCTCTGTATCAGAGGCAGCAGCGCAGGGTGGCAGGAGGGAGCCAGTTTGCGAGGGGGGACCGTTTAAAAAAACAGCTCAAGCTCCTACTTCCCACCCCCCTTGCTGCCTCTGATAGAGGCAGCAAGGGGGGTGGAATGTGAGTAGTTGACAACATTAACTAATAAGCCTGGCTTATTGGTTAATCATCTAGTTGACTGCTAGTTGAAATCCCTAATTAGCATGCATTGGCATTTTTTGTCCTAAAGAAACTATTTTGGTCTTTACCAGCTAATCCAACAATGTGACAATGAAGACTTAATGGAACTGGCTCTTCCCCGCCTGACGAAGCTTGTTACTGTATATGAATTTCTACTGATGAAGGTGAGCTTTTCTCATTGTGTATGTAGAATCTTAAAGATTTTACATATATTTTGAAGATTTTAATCTTTCATATACATCATGAAAACTTCTCTGGGAATTAATCTTAGCTGCATGTGTTAGACCTATGAAAACTAAAGATGTTTTTAGTTCACCTTTAAACCTCATGTAGGCAAAGGCAGACAGTTTGCCAGACTGCATTTTTTTTTTAACTTTTGTTGCCTGCTTCATCAGAGCTATTTCTGAAGATTCCAAATTCTTTCCTTTCTGTACTGATGGGGAAAGGATTGATGATTGGAAAAAGTGATAGGCATAACAAATCGATATTTTGGGGGAAAGGATTGATGATTGGAAAAAGTGATAGCAAAATATCGATTTGTTATGCCTAACTTAATTGTATTTCATTTTCAATATTCTTGCTTATTTCTGTTTAGGTTGAAAAAGGTTCCCCAGGAAAGGCCTTTTTTCCGGATGTTTATAGAGAATTTGAAGAGTTACATAATATGGTAAAGAAAATGTCTCAAGACCATTTCAATAATTCTGATTTTCTGAGTTATCAGCAGCCTGTGGAAATAAAAGATCCGAAGGTAAGAGGACACATTTTGGAGGGTTTTTAGGGAATGTTCGGCATCGGCTTTTCTCTGATGCTAGGCATTTTATAGCATAAGTGATATTTAAATAGAACAGCAACTTCCTGGTAAGAGAAAATGGAGATAAAATGTAAACTGAAGAACAAATACTGAAAGGTTAAAAAATATTTATCTTTTGGTATTTGATCAGTAATAGAAAAATTTGATTAAACCAAAGACTTGGTTGATAGCTGACTGCAAATCAAAACCGCAGGTGCTTAGAGTAGTTTGAAGCTATCTCTTGTTGCCAGAAGTGCTTTGGTGGCTCAGCATCATCTCTGGACGGTAGCATTAATAGAATCCCATCCTATCTTTGGCTAGAAAGGAAATGGCCATGACATGATGCTGATGGGGATGAGCTCAAGTAAGTCCTATTTGAGAAGCTGAGATACAGAGGGTCCCCAGCAGACAAATCTGCAATTTCCTAAAGCCGTGGTCTCCAACCTTTTTACACCCAAGATCTCTTTTTAAGTGTCAGAACAAGCCAAGATCTACTGCCCCATCCTTCCCCCAAGACCCCACCTCTTCTTTGAAGCCCCACCCTATCTATTCTCCTCTCCATCACTTGCTATCCCCAGCCCTTATACATTCTACACTGCCGCTTTTTTTATTCTTCTGTAGGAAGAGGTTTTTCCAACATTTGGCTTGTCTAGACTTGACCAAATGTCAGAAAAACCCTTTCTTTCTGAAGCCCCCTTATTCCTTGTGGAACGAGGAATACAGGGCTTACTGAAAGAGCATGTTTGCTCTTCCACTAAAAAAAGCGGAAGAAGAAATGCATCCCTGGATGCGGAAGAGTTTTTTTCGGGATATCTCTGGAATCCTGGAAAAACTCCTGTAGTCTAGCCATACACTCGCTCGGTTGAGACAGGATGTGCGGGCTTTGGGGTGGGAATGAGGGATTTGGGTGTGGGAAGGGATGAGAGGTGCAAGCTCTGGGAGGAAATTTGGATGCAGGAGGAGGTGGAGAAGGGGACGCTGGCTCGGGGAGGGAGCTCCAGGCCGGGCAGAGTTGGGGTACTAAACAAGTGACAGGCTCGTGGATGTGAGGGTACAGGAATTTGGGTTGGGGTACGTGAGGGGCTCAGGGCAGGGTGTTCCAGTGTTTGATAGGCTCAGAGCTAGGGTCTGGGGAAGTGGGAATGCAGGAGTGGTTGTGGCCAGATGGGGGCTTGGCCCCAATTGGGGGTTTGTTGGCCAGGCTTCATTTTTAAATAAAATACTATGTTAAACACAAAAAGTTTCTGCATTGTCTTCATTTATGAGACTGACAGGGAACCTGCCTTGAGTCAGGGGTCACTGACCCATAGAAAAGTCATTTGGGATCAGGGGACACAGTACTGAGGAGGGGTGCTAGTGGATTGTGGGGCAGGGTGCCAGAAGGTGCCAGAAGGACAGGTTTCTGCAGCAGGGGACAGGGTGCTGGTGGGGGACAGGTTTCTGCAGAGGGGAGCAGGGGACAGGTTTCTGTAGTGGGGAAGGCAGGGGAACAGGTTTCTGCAGTAGGGGACAGGGTGCCAGAATGAACTGGTTTCTGCAGGGGGGGGGAGGGTTCTGCAGGGGGGGGGAGGGTTTTG